TTCTTTACAGTCAAATCGTCGCATTCAATTACCATATACGAAGTACGTAGTATTTATTAGGTAGATTCTATGGTACCCCAAATGTACTGTACCTTTGTCCAAATGAGCCAATAAGAATGATGCAGTTGAATTATGTAAATCTAAATTAAAAGGCATATAATGATTTGGACCAATCAAATGCATAGTAGGTATGGTACCCCATTTTTTAAATGGGCACCAGAGTTGTCACCTATGGAGTATTTATTATCTATTTATATACTACCTCCGTCCCATTTATATTGGGACAGAAGAGAGTGGCACGGTTATTAAGAAAAGTGGGTTTGTGTGGTTGATATTAATTGATAAAGTAAGAATAAGTAAGAATGATTTAGAGCCACACAAACTTTGCCAAATATGGTATGGGACAATTTAAGTGGGACTTCCCGAAAAGGTAAATCGGGACAATATAAATGAGACGGAGGGAGTATAAGAAAAGAAATAGCTCATGAAAATACAATTCTACCCTTAATGAATCCTGGGTGTCTAGCTCTCCTTAATTCTCTCATTTGCTATAGCAATGACACATGGCCATTTTACTTCAAACTACCGAATTTCTCCCATAGAAAGAAAAGGGAGCAGCCGTAGGAGATGCAATTGGTGGGCCCAATCTATAAAAAAAAACCAATTTTCTTTAAGGTGTTATAACTTTTTCATTTTAATCCAGTTTTTTCAAAAACTATATCAAAATTCATAATTTTTTGTGATCTTTCATATGAGATCAATATTCAATATATAAAAATATAATTTATTAACGGTCTCCATAATTATGCTTAAAGTTATTTATATACATTTTCTAATCTATTTTGCTGTCTGAATTAGGGAAGTTAATGTAAGTGATCATTTTTAGCTACATTTCATATAATGTTTTTCTTTATTTCATTAATAAAATTAATTTAAATTAAATTTATCCATACACCAAAAGATTCGACTAATTCAACCACTTCTCTCAGAATTTCATCAATTTCAACGGTTTCAACTAATTTTAGTAATACTAAACAGTCTCTAAAATCAAAATCAGAACATGAAAGGAAAAATCTAAAAATACAAAATTTATTTAAGAAAACTTTCTTAAAGTATTTTATAATTTGATGTGCACTGGTTCGATATATAAAAAATCCGCAAATGAAAATCTAATTAGTCTTAATAAAAAATTTCGAGTTGGTCTATTTAATTTTTTTTTGAGTTGGTCTAAATTGAAAACGATGAGTGATTAGAATTCACCAACTCTACGATTAATAAAAATCTAATGTTATTTTCATTTTTTATTCTACTCCCTTCGTTGAACTATTACAAACTTTATTTCTTCCTATTATAATGTCACTTGAGAAGAAAAAATTAGCAAATGAAAATAATAAACACATCAAATGCTAATAAAACAAAACTTCTAAATTTAGTTCAATTTATTATTCTTTATTTTTAAGGAAAAAGGGGCAAATATGAAAATATATATTTAGCATTATTGGTTTGTTTTAAACTGATTTGATCTATTTAATTTTAGTTTTATTAAAAAAAAATTTGACTTATTCAGCCAAAGTTACTGTACATAATCATTTTAACTACTTTCCATATAATCTTTTATTTACTTCATTAATGGAATATAATTTAAACTAAATTCATCCATAAATCAAAAGAATCAATTTAAATCAATTCAGCCACTTCTGTCAAAATTTCATCAATTTCAAAAGAATCAGGTGAAGTATCCAATTTCAGTGTTACTAAACTGACTCCAAATATCAAAATTAAAATATGAAAGTAACAATAGATCAGTGGCTAATAAAAAGGGACTTTTTGAAAAAAAAAAGACTATTAAAAGTAAACAAATGAGAATCTTAAAGAATCATATTTCATTAAAAATCAACATGTTGAAGTAATGTCTTCATAATAGTAATATGTAAATGGTTAAAAAATATAAGTATACTTGAATTTTGTTATTACGTGGACTTCCAATTATGCATATGCAAACGAGTAGATAGACTTATAAAAGAGTTTCAGGTGATTCCTAATGTAGCAGTTGACTAAGATTCATTTACCTTTTTTACTCAACCACAACCTCACGTTTTCAATTTATTCCCACAACTTCGCTTTTTTAAATCATGTTCATATTATCACAGTTTTGGGTAAGAGAGAATCCAAGTTGATTTATCAATATATGATGAAATGATATGGTTCTTACAAAAAAATTATTTGTTCATGAGTCAATGGACAAAGAAAGAAACACTAGAGTAGATTATCAACTCAAATAAGAAGCCACATGAAAATAAACTTGCAAATCAAAAGCTCACACTATTCATGATAATAAACCTGCACAGTAGAAGTTCTTGCAATCGAAAAGATATACTCTCTATGAAAAAAACTCAAAGAACTAACAGTCTAATGATGAAAAGTTATGTTAGATTAATAGACAACAAGTTAATCAAAATGGAATTATTTAATCAAGTAATGAAAATGTGGAAGACGGTGAAACAAAATTGTTATTAAATGAATCATTACACATTTGTGGAGGATGTGGGACATATTTCTCTCTTATATATAATGTTTTTAGGTATAAGATAAGTCGGCTAACAATTGAGCGGAATAATTTTCCCTCTCATATGTAGTGCTTTTAAGTATAAGATTAGATGGCTTAACAATTGAGCGGCCAAAATTTCTATCTCATATGTAGTACTTTTAGGTATAAGAAGATAAACCGGCTAACAATTGGGTGAAATAACTTTCTCTCTCATAATTAGTTCTTTTAAGTATAAGATAAGTTGCCTAACACTTGAGCACGATAACTTTCTCTCTCATTTGTAGTGCTTTTTAGTAAGATGGTAAGATAAGCCAGCTAACAATTGAGCGGGAAAATTTGTTCTTTCATATGTGGTGCTTTTAGATATAAGAAAGATTAAACCATAAAATGTCTAACAATTGAACGAGATATTTCTCTCTCAATAAGCAGTGCTTTTAACTATAACATAATCCAACTAACAATTGAGAGATAGAACTTTTTGTATCATATATAGTGCTTTTGGGTATAACAAATGAGAGGGATACTCTTCTATCTCATATGTACTACTTTTAGTTATTAGAAGATAAACTTGCTAACAATTGAGAAAGAACATTATCTCTCACATATAGTTCTTTTTAGTATAAGATAATCCAGCTAGCAATTGAACGGAATAACTTCTCTCACTCATATGTAGTGTTTTTAGGTATGACGTAAGCCGGCTAACAATTGAGCTGGAAAACTTTCTCTCTCATATGTAAGAGTTTTAGATAAAAATAAGCTTACTAATAATTGAGCCAGAAGATTTTTTCTTTCATATGTAGTGCTTTCTGGTATTAGAAGATAGAAGATAAGATTGCTAACAATTGAGAAGATAAACTTGCTAACAATTGAGTGAGAGAACATTCACTCTCACGGGTAGATCTTCTTAAGTACTCCATATATAAGATAATCCGACTAACCGTTGAGCGTTAAAATTTTCTCTTCCATATGTAGTGCTTTTATGTATAACATAAGCCGACTAATAATTGAATGAGAGAACTTTCTCTCTCATATATAATTTCTTTAGATATGACAAGATAAGCTTGCTTGCTAATAATTAAGCGAAAAATTTCTCTCTCATATGTAATGCTTTTGGTTATTAGAAGATAAAGTTGCTAACAATTGAACGGGGGAATCATCATATATGTAGTTGTTTTTAGTATAAGATAAGTCCGCTAATAATTAAAGAGTATAATTTTTTCTATCATACATAGTGCTTTTAAGTATAAGATAAGATAATCCGACTAAAAATTGGGCGGGAGAATTTTTTTCTCATATGTAGTTGTTTTAGGTATAACAAAATAAGCCGGCTAAGAATTGAACATGATAATTTTCTCTCACATATGTTAGCACTAATTTACAAATGAATGGCAAGTTATTATTTAACTAATATTCGTTAATTTTAATATTTATTGTATTCGCTTAAACTTTACTTCACTCACTTATATATTGTATTCACTTTTTTAGAATATTATTTAATTTTAAAATTAATCTAATCATGAAAATGAATAAGTAGCAAATTCTAATGAGTAGAGTCAATTAACTTTTCCTAATATACTCTCCATTGAATAGATATTCTATGGGCTTATATTTTATGGTATTAGCTTATTGAACTACTATAGTACTATTTTTTCCGAAAATGTAGAATCCTAAAAAGTTGTTTTTGTTTTAATATTTAATTAGATCATGAGTAAAAATACATGCAACAACTGCTTTATCCCGTGCGTATGCACGGGTACTATACTAGTTGTAATAAAACCTTTATGAGCGTTACCCTTCAGGATACAGAGGGTCATCTTTACAATATAAAATTACGCTATTATTGTTCTCAGGCATTTAATGGTTACTACGGAGTATCTTTTTAACATTTTGTAGCATTCAAACAGTCTCAATCAACTCAAGCTTTTAGAGTTTTTTTCAATTTCAGTACTATGACGTTAGTGACACTTTTAGTACCTGACTTTTAATTTTTCCATTTCTGATTCTCGACTATTGTACTAAAGACACTTTTATTCCCCGACTTCAAAGTTTTCCACATTTAGTCACCGAGTATTATCAAATTGACACTTTAGCCCTTCCATGCACTATGATTTTGATACTATAAGTGGAGCACTAAAAATGTGTCTATTTTAATATCTAGAGGACCAAAAGTATCACTTTTAAAAAAGTCAAAGGACTAACTATGAAAATTTTAAAAAACGGGTATCAAAAGTGTCTCTAGCACAATGGTCGGGGACTAAAAATAGAAAAAATCAAAATCAAGTATTAAAAGTGTCATTGACATAATAGTCAAAAGACTAGAAGTGATACAAACTCCAAGGTTTTATGTTTGGTCAAGCTTAATTAAAAGCCAATAGAGTGCGAAAATGAAAGTGTTTTAATAGATCAAATACATATTTAGCCTGAGATAGGAACAAACTTTGAGAAGTGTTAGGACTTTTTCTGGTGTCCAATCCTGATAAATATCTTTGTATTTGTGTAGCTATTTTGTCTAGATATTTCAGCTATTATTAGACTAGCTTTCTTAGGAAGTGTGTAAAGTGTGTTATTGGGCCCAATCATTAAAAGAGCCCAATCATGCTTAGGTCACATCACACATTCCCTAGGCATATAAATATTGCCTTTAAGGGAATGTGCAAAGAGGCTTTTATAGATTATTCAGCGCATATATCATTCTAGTGAGAGAGAGAGCCGATACTTTGCATTCTCGATACTCTGTTGTACAATTCTCGATCATTGTTGGTATTGAATCAAAGCTATTTTCTTCTCTACTCTATATCGTTTATATGATTGTTGAATGAAATAGGGACAAACAATTGGTATCAGAGCCGAGCGTGAAATCGATTGAAGAATGTATGCATTTTCGGATCTGTCGTTGACGTTGAAGACAAGTTTTTGCGGAAAACTAAGTTTCTGCGTTTTTTGGGTTTGATGGACTTGCATTCGATGCGATTCTTTGTTTTTGGGAATATTTCGATCAACACTTGAGATAAAGCAAAGCAAAATTTCGTTTGTGTGCTGTTAGATTTTTTCAGTTTTCGCAGGTTGGACATCGAAAAAGGCTTCTCGAAATGAATATCGAAAAGTAGCTTCTCGAAGTACAGGTTTCGCGAAGTCTGAAGTCTCATCGAAAAGCACTTCTCGATAGGAGCATCGAAAAGCACAGGTTCTCGATAGGATCATCGAAAAGAGTTTCTCAAAGTTCAGGCTATCGACAACAACTCCTCGATAGGAAGTTTCTCGATAGAAAACTTCTCGAAGTACAGGTTCTCGAAGATTCATCGAAAAGACTTTCTCGAAGGCAATATCGAAAAGTACATGTTTTCGATCGAAAAGAACTTCTCGCCTGACTACATCGAAAACTGAACAAACTATCGAAAACGTTTCTGGAAAGTCTGATATCGAAAAAGGCCAAGCATCGAGAACTCAACAAAAAAAGAGGAAGGAGGGGCAAAATTGTTCTTTGAGACCCGCTGAATTCTACGGCTATCGTGTCCGCAGGTCGCCCGCGCAGGGGGGGTGCGAATTTTCAATTTTGAACTGAAAGCCGGAATTCTTGTGTGCGCGAGAGCTCCCCTCTTCTCCTTCACCTTTTAATATCAAGAGAGGAGTGGTTCATATTTATAGGCTTCAAACTTTCCAAGGAGTTTAGGTATGGGAAAGTTAAAGAAGCCCACTTTTCACCTTTCCTTGAAAGTGTACACTTTTCATCAATTTTTTCCAAGAGCTAGTTTTGAGCCACTTTAAACTCCAAAGTCCAAAACTCCAACACCAAAGGTGAACCTTACAACCAAAGCTTCCAAGAGTCAACCTTGAGATTAAAAAAAAAATTAAAAAAAAAAAATAATAATAATATCTCAAGGTTAAGGCTATTTTCTCAAACTCCAAGCTACACTTCAAGGTCCAGAAAATTGCAGAAACTTCAATCAACCTCACGTCTACGGTCAACATTCAACAATCATCAATGGATACCTCTTGCTCATCATCATTGTGTAAGAATGAATGTGCTGAAAGTTCTGATAAGCTGGAGGTAAGGCAATCTGACAGTCAACAAATTATCAAGCAATTGGAAGAGAGATTAGCAAACAATCACCGAGTCTTACTGCAGCAACTGGATAAGACTACCTCACTCACCATACAATTGGACAATGAAAAGGAAATTGTTAAGAAGCGAACTTTGGAAATAGAACAGCTCACACAAAAGGTAGCTGAACTGACTAAAAAGGTAAGTGACACTGAATTAGAACGAAACATTGCCAAAGCTGAAAATGAGTTTCTACATGAAAAAAGAGGCAAGCTTTACACAAAAATCAAAGAGTTAGAAGATTTACTAGCCAAGAGAGGACAGACAGAACAAACCATTTTTCTTAACCAGAACAAGGACACACGATTTTATAACTCTAAGGAGGGTCTTGGTCTCACTAACCCCAATAATTTGAAAAAGGTGGATTGTATTCAACTTTATGACATAAATTATATGGGGTTAGGATTGACTAAGTTGATGGCTTTTACCTATGGAAAGGAAACCGCAGAAGAAGAAGAGGTAAAGCGATCAAATCCTTCTAAAGCCGAAATTCCTTTCAGTTATGACTCTTTGAACAAAAGCTATGAAACAGCTGAACCTGTTTTTTCATCTGATGAGAGTGTCAGTTTCTATCCTTCTGAAAAGGAAGCTGTGTCGGATTCAGAACCCCCTTCAACCTCAGGATCAAGTGAAGAAGAACCTTATATCCCTCCACTAATTAGAAAATTTGAAACCTTACACATTTCCTTAGAAAATCAAAGAAAAAGTTTTGAAGAGGAACGAAAAAATTTTGAAAGTGAGAGGGAGAGGTTGTTGAGAGAATTGACCATTTTAAAAGAAAGTTCCCAATCTGGCACAACTTCTCAATCATCTAGTGATACTGATACTTCTCAACCAATTCTGAACAAAACTAACATTTTCAAAAGGCCACCCACTCACTCCACGTCTCCTTTGAAAACAGAAAATGAAGTGAGTAGAAAACTAGAGAGGAAAAGAGAGTGGAGGCTGAAGAGAGCTGAAATAGCTGAAGCGAAGAAGAAAATGAATTTTGTTGAAAATAAGAAGTCTTGTTCTAGTGCTGCTTTTTATTCAAATAAAAGTAGATTTAGCTCTGTCACACACCATTCTTCTCAGACTTTTTCTAATGACTCTAGATCTGTGTTTTCTCATTCTAGAGCTGAGGTTAGAAAGCCTGAGAAACCTAAGCAAAAGGCTAAGGCTGTCAAACCTCATTGTGATGTGAATGATGGCAAATCGAAAAAGAAAAGATTTGAAGCTTCAACCTATACTGTTTGTGATGGTGTTTGCCTGACTTATCCCCTCAAGGTTTATTCAGCTAAACACCTGAAACGGTTATCAAGGGAGAAAATCTTTACTTCTCGGAAATCTGTTCCATCATTCACCAGCGCTGAAAATTCTCATACACCTGCAATAACTCAAAAATGGGTTCCTAAATCAGAATCCCAGTCATATAGCTCTCCAAAAGCTTCAAAAGAGACTGGTTTAGGAACTAAAATAAAGCAAAAATTTCAAAATTCCTTTTGTGCTAAAAGGGATGGACCCACCCTGAAATGGGTACCAAAGGTTTCTTAACCTTTTGCAGGTCCGTCATGTGTGGTAACTGAACCGATTGCTCCACACGCATGGCGGGTATGAAGACGAGCTGTGAGCAATCAACTGGTGCACATTATGAAGGGGAGTATTGGCATGTATACTACCTCAACGAGCTGAAAATCAAGAAATGCACACCTCAACGCCAACACATGCCAAGAACAAACAACAAGTGCTTATTCTGAGGGGGAGTGTTTCTTTTTCACTCTTCCTGGTGCCTAACAACGAAGAAAGCACATTCCAAGGGGGAGTTTTCCACTTTACTCCCTGGGTGATCAACAACACCTTAAACATTCTGAGGGGGAGTTACATTTTTCTCCTCCTGACGCCAATCAAGGATCAATGCAAGACAACCCAAGAAAGTCATAAGCGAATCAGCTAAAGTCCCCCAGGTGTATCTCCAGCAATTTTGGGTAATACTTGGCAAGGACACTGATGAGGATGATAATGAGATAGATGACGTGCTGACCGCCACTATCAAGGACACCAAGTTCATGATTACCAAAGAGTTGATGCACCAAGTGCTGCACTGGCAAACACACCGGCTTCGACTAGTGCAACATCTACCTTTTGATTGTCTTCCATGATGGTTTTCACTACTGGTGTGACGCTTCTCCAAAACAACTCCATCCATCCACTGAAGACTACCAACGGAGAACGTCAGCAAGTATCTCCAAAAGATGACTAAGGATTCAACGCTTGTACCTCTCTTAATACCAGTGTCTCTGTTGCAGTTAGCTGATCCGAATGATCCATCTGTCCGACGCTACTGCCAGAAGAATAACATTATACTCCCTATGGCTCAGATAAACCCCCCTGAGCCTACCCAAGGGAGTCAGCCGAGCGCAAGTGAGGGTCCTGAGAGTTGAACCCAGCCACGTAGACCAGTGGCAGTCCGGCCCCATGATGATCAGACTATGTCTGCTGAGGGCCACCCCCCGAGTTGCTGAGGAGACTACCTATGACTCGTCTAGCGCTGCCAGACTACAAAACGCTGACGATGAGGGCTCCGGGAGCAAGGCTGGAAAGAGCAACAATGACAAAAGTGATGAGGACGAAGATGATGAAGACGACAATGCAAGAAAAGCCATGAAAGCTCCGGTACAAAAATGTTGATTCGATATCAAGCTTTCTACGGCTGCAGATAAAGAGGTGTCTTACTTGAGAAAGAACACTTAAGGACAGATTATCAGTGAGACTCGCTCTAAGAAACATCATGATGTCCTCTCTTCATCACTCATTCCTACGCAAAGAGTGCAAACATCAAGCAACCAGGCTGAAGAAATGGCCTTGTATGACGGTTGCTCAGACCTAGATAAACTAAACCGGGCTAACCCCATAGGCACAGAGACTGATCTTTTCAGTCTCCGGGTAGAAGACGCAGCATCCAGCCCAACTGCGCATGCACAAGCCTCCCCTAGCCACTCTGCTACCTCCCAATAGGTAGTAGTTTCAATATCAGGGGATCTCATACCCACCTCTCCGCCCCCTTTCGGAGCGGTCGAGGATATATATAGTGACCATCAGCCCCAGGTCACTACCCCTCCTTCTACCACTTTGTGTCTAGGTGTCACCCTCCAAAATTTTCCAATTTTTCTAGGACACGTACACTCTTCACACCACCGCACTCTACAGGTCCACTTTATCTGTCAACAACGATCGGAGATACGTCGATGATGATCGGAAATCCTGCTGCTTAACAGATAACTCAATCATTATTTGCAGGCCACATACCGGTTATCTCTACCGATGTTGTGACAACGGTTACTACCCCTGTAACCGGAAACCCTAACCCTACCGACCTTTCTGTCATTTTGCAGCGCTTCTTGGATTCCACCATTAAGCCATGGGTGCACGAAGCAATAACCGCTTAGTCACACGAATTCAGGACCACCCCGGCGCTTCTTAATGACATCATCCAAACTCTAACTCAACCTTCATCCTCCCACTCCCAACAGCAACTCACTCCAATCCTTACCCTATCCCATTTGACCATTTACCATGCCATTCGATGACCTAGCATCCATTATGCTAGCGAGAATTCTGGAAACCAAAGAAGCTCCACTCACTGACAAACAAGGAGCTCTTATCGTGGTACATGAAACCTAAAGCACATGCAATGACAGTCTCCGCGGTCACAAACGTTCACATGAGGACCCTGATTATTCGGCTCCTCATGAGGGGGAGAATAAGAGGCAACGGATACTCGAGCATGGTGCTTCATCTAGCCAATAACCCCAACCTGAACCCTCAAACAACCAAGTTAAATGCAAGAATTCTCTCGAGGATGCAGATTTTGAGGGGGAGTTTTCAATGTTCTCCTCCCAAGCGCCAATTATCATCAAAGGCATCCTATTGAGTGCTACAGTTGAGGGGGAGTACAAAGAGAAAAGAGCAAAGAGAAATGAGAGACAAGTCCCAATGGCTTAGTAAACCCAACTAAGCCTACCCAAGGGACAAAGCCGAGAGTGAGTGTGTAACTGAGTGAAACTATGAGAGTGAGGAAGCAAAAGGCTTAAGTGAGCGAAAAAAACAATAATCAATGACATGTCTGCTACCTCAACTGCGCTTTCAATTGAGAGAATTACTCCCAGTCACTCAAATAATCCGGACAATTCCCCATAGGTTCAGGACTGAATTTATTCAGATCCCGGGTAGAAGTCGCTGCATTTTGTCCAAACAGCGCATGCACAATCCTACCCTAGACCACTCACTTGTCTCCCAACAGACACGTGTTTAATCATATTTCACGGGGAACCTCATCTATTATTACCGTCTCCTTCCGAGGCAAGTGATACTGACTATAGTGGCCTTAGCCCCATGCCACTGAATATTCATTGATCACGTTGTGTCTAGTTATCTCACTCCCAAATGTTTTGAATTTTCTAGGACACAAACACTTTTAGAGTCAGTTGCAGGTCTTCATGACCCGCGAGAACTTCCATAGGGCTCATCTACTATAGATGTGGACCAATGATTGGAAGGAAGTCCTGCTGTTGCAACCTAGAAATCACCAACATGTTCAGGCCATCGCTTTAGAGTTTATCTTTATGGTGATGATAACGGGTGTCTACGCGACCCCGGGGGGCTACAAGGTTTTCATTGCTGGTCTTTATGATCATGCCATAACAACCAGAGTGACATCTACTTCAGATGCTTCACAATGACTGGTTGGAAGTCCTGTTAGAACTTTATTGCTTCTATCATTTTACACAGGCCACACATCGGTGTTTACATTGATGTTGTGATAACGGAACACTAGTGTATCCGGTTTTTATCTTTTTTCTCTTTTTTCGTGTTTGTTATCCAGAATAAAAGAATAAAAGCATGACGTCTCGATTCATCGGATCGTCATGAGGGGGAGAATGGTCCACATGCTGTTTACTATCAACAAATCATTCTTGGGCACTTCTCTTCTCCATCACAAAAATCAACGACGGCTCTCTATTCTCTCAAATCATCAAATGATCAGCTAAACTCAGAAGTTAACCATCTCTTTCCGCTGTGCCACCGACGAGATCTCCTCAAAGTCAATCTTTTTCCGCTGTGCCACCTACACATTGAAGGAGACAGAGGTCGGGTAATCAAATTCTGAAAATGAATCCCATGCGCGCCTGGAAATCATCAGACATTCATTCCAGAGGCGTCATCAGACTTAATTCAAGCTGATCAAGAGCAACTTCTGGAAGGCAAGGACTACATGCAAGATAGTGAAGATTCTTCAACTCCCTGACATCAAAGAACAAATTGCCATGAAGACATCAAAGGGGAGATTGAAAGGATTTGTTCAAAAAGCCTTCTTTAGAAGCTGAGTTCAAAACAAAGACAAAGGAAGCTGAGTTGCACTGAAGATCAAGACAAAAGAGGAGCAACTCAACCAATCTTATCTACGCTCTCCTCTACATTGCTGAATAAACACAAAGACAAAGATATTCGCGCTACAATGCTGATTGAACATGATTGAACACCAAGGGGGAGATTGTTAGGACTTTTTCTGGTGTCCAATCCTGATAAATATCTTTGTATTTGTGTAGCTATTTTGTCTAGATATTTCAGCTATTATTAGACTAGCTTTCTTAGGAAGTGTGTAAAGTGTGTTATTGGGCCCAATCATTAAAAGAGCCCAATCATGCTTAGGTCACATCACACATTCCCTAGGCATATAAATATTGCCTTTAAGGGAATGTGCAAAGAGGCTTTTATAGATTATTCAGCGCATATATCATTCTAGTGAGAGAGAGAGCCGATACTTTGCATTCTCGATACTCTGTTGTACAATTCTCGATCATTGTTGGTATTGAATCAAAGCTATTTTCTTCTCTACTCTATATCGTTTATATGATTGTTGAATGAAATAGGGACAAACAAGAAGTATGCACAATGTGAACCCCAAGAAAATATGAAGTTCCATCAAATTTTTAAGAGTAAAACATCCCGCCATATCTAGGGTCATTATCAGTAATGATGGCATCATCAACAAAAATAAAGAACTATCTGACCTACTCCACACAAAACCATTACTCAAAAGAAAACTAGCAAATTAAACCTATGGAACCACGCTGGAGCTGTCTGTTTAAGATCATAAATAATTTTACGGAGATGACACATATGATTGAAAAGATGGGGATGCACAACGTGAGGGGGTTGACACATATAAAATTCTTCGGTAAGATTATCATGAACGAACACATTTTTTTCTACAACTACTTCACAAATAGACCAATCAGTTGAAACCGCGAGAGCAAGAACAACACGAGTGAATGTTCAAAAAAGTCAATAGCTTCCTACTGATTGAAATTTTGAGCAACGAGACAAGCTTTATATCGCCCAATGGACTAGACACAATGATATTTATTTTAATAAATTCATTTAGAGCCAATCACATTCTTATTGGGATCAAACATAACTAATTAAATCAAAGATATGGTTAGCAATGAAAGCATTATGAAGCCCCAAATGGAATATACTACTTCCGCCCCTAATATTGAGACGAAAGAGAGTAGTGCGAATATTAAAAAAAATGAAATTGTGTAACTAGTATTGAATTAGTAAAGTGTGAATAAAGTATGAATAAATTAAAACATCCAGGCATTATTAAATATGATTTGAGATTAATTTAATGGGACATATGAAAAAAGATAAAACGAGACAAAGATAGGGGATGCAGGGAGTAAATATACTAAAAGTATCCAATTACATTAGAGTTCTACCTGTATATAAGTGATACACTATTATTAGTTTTATATTATTACATTATTAATTATTCCTAAATATTATACCCATGATCTTTATGTTGTAGTGTTTAACTAAAGCTATATTTTACAAAATACTCCATATTTTTATTACATATACATATTTAAACACAATGATATTATCCCTATACATTATACCCAATTACAAATGAATGAGATTATGAGGTGTTTGGATCTTATTCTCAAAACCGATTCTGCTCCTTCTGGGAGCATAAGCAGAAGCTGGAGTGTTTGGGTGAAATTGCAGAATCACTTATGGTGTGCTCTAATTTACTCCCAGAATCAATTTTTTTATAGAAGCTGGAAAGTACCAGCTTCTAAAAACTGATTCTGATTATGTTTGTACTTTAAAAAAGAAGCAAAAGCAAAATCAGTTCCAAACACCCCTATATACCTATATACACCTGTATACTTGGATTCCATTTTATTACTCCGTACATATTAAATGCTGAGTACAATTTAGTTTGTCTAGTTTGGGGCCGACTTTTTTCAAAGAATTGAGAGCAAATAATTACAACTTGATAAAAATACTTGGTACGTTTTGTTATTTTGTGTCGGTGGGTACTGAACTAATAATAATATGTTTTAAAGGTGCTAATTTGTCTTATTAGTGACTAAATTATAACAACTGTTCATTGTTTTATCAAATTGCAAAAGGTATGTGATGGTATCATTAAAAGGAAACTTTGATTGGCCATAAATTTCCATGTATCATTCATCCATACATTTTAAACGAGGTTCTCCTAATCCAATCCGTGTAATTAGTCAATTGTACTAAATTAACATTGACCAACATACTACTCCTATTTACTCGCTTTTGGGACCCGTCCGTATAGGTAGTTAAATGAGTAGAACAAGTCTAACCACTTACTCAGTTACCATACAGTACTTGCCTGGTAACTAGGCAAGTGTCTACTAGTTACCCTTAGAGCATCTTCAATGGTACAATGTGCACGGTGCACACGTGGCATGAGAGATGACCACATAAATATTAGTAAATAAATTATTTCTCTCCTTATTTAAATGATTTTATACAATTTTGGTAAGTTTTTGTCCACAATGTCAAGGAGACCGTCTAATGTTGACATTGTTGTTGACATTGCAGGGAAAAACTTACCAAAATTGTATAAAATCATTCAAATAAGGAGAGAAATAATTTATTTGCTAATAATTATGTGGCTATCACTCATGCCACATGTGCACCGTGGACATTATAACATTGGGAATGCTCTTATTACTAGTAGTCAAAGTTTACAAAGTTAATACACGAATACCCCGGCATGACAATCTCTTTATAAATTAAATTATCCTAACTGTATTATTTTTAACTTTATTTGTTTAAAAATATTGAAACTTTAGCGGGTACCTATAAAAGTGATCGAGTTTAATTTTTCAGTCTCAATCAAATCATTCTTCAATAATTATAAAATACACATAGATCAGACATTTACTGGATCAGACCAATTAGATCAGACTAGAACAACAATTTTCGGTTCGAGTAAAAACATCATTGATGTACTATATAATACTAAGAAGAATGACATAGTAGTATACATTAGTAAAATAAACATTATGAACAAAATTGCAATATGGAGTGTCTATATTTGTAATTTTTAGTTATTACGAGTATATTCAAGTTTACACTATAATGATCATGGTGTTACACTCGAAATAACTTCCATTGTATTGATGCAGATAAATTTAATTTCAGTTGTATTTTAGAAAAAACCTTACATAATCATGTTGGAATACCAAGATTGGGACAAATTGAGTTGCACAATTATTGTGAAAAATAGATTGCGTGACTGTTATTTAATTATTAATGCATGTATAATGTAATGATGGATTGCACTCCTTTCCTTTCGACTTAGGGTTATCATTTGCTTTTCTCGGATATCCTAAAGGCTCACATTTCTATTTTAGGAAATAATCAACATTCTTACATGCCAGTTTACTACTTTGATTATCAAATATCAAAATAATACGGATGTTTTTTTTGGACTGAAATTTGTTGGTCTGGTCTGGTCTGGTAAACGTCCGGTCTCTGTGTATTTTATAACTACGGAAGTCTGGTCTGATCTAATCTGGTCTGGTCTGGTATGATATGGGACTGAAAACAGTCCAAAAGAAAACATCCTACATCTTTAACATTGTTTAGTTATTATCTAAATAATTGTGTCATACGTAGTATTACAATGAAAATCTTAAGTGACGACGAAAGTAGTAACATTCAAATATTATTAGATATGATACGGAGTATGTGAAATCAATCTCTTGGCCGGTGGGCGTAGCTCATCTAATATACTTCCTCCGTCCTGCTATGATTGTCCCATTTTATCTTTTCGGTCCGTCCTACTAAGATTGTCCCATTTTACCTTTTCGGCCGTCCTACTAAGATTGTCCTATATCAAATTTGGTAAAGTTTGTGTGATTCTAAATCATTCTCACTTTAATCTTACTTTATCAACTCAATATCAACCACACAAACCATTTTTTATTAATTTTTGTGTCACTCCCTCTTGTCCCATTGTTAGGGGGATCGAGGGAGTAATAGATATGGAGTGTCGCAAGTGATAAGTCTCAAGTCCGAATCCTGACAACTCAATGAGAGGTTACTATATAAAAATCCACATAGTATGTTAAAATACCTAAGCTAAAATCCTACTAACTCTCTATCATGTTATGATTAAAGTCAAATTTACATTTTTTCAATTAACTGTGCGACCGGTTCTAGGATAGCGTGTCATTGTTTTTTGTGAAATCGGTCTCTGGTTAATGTAACTATGTGTCTCTGGTTAATGTAACTATGTGTCTATGTAATTACCGGTCTTTGTTTTGTCTTTCGTGGAACCTGCTGGGAATGATCTCACCCTACACTTTCCCTTTATTTGTGTTGTGGCTTTTTTACACAGAATTACTCCGTATTGTTCACAATTACAATATCTTCTCCATTCCTTTTTTATTCGACTACCAAACACTTCCTCCGTCCACCATAGCCGCTTATAACATACCATAGTACATCCATCTCTCTCTTTATTGTTATTATATATATTCTCTCTAAAACCTCTGTTTTACCGCTGCTTATGAATGACTAATTACAGGCTACCCGCGATGAATATGTGGGCCGCCGCGACCCATAACTCCGGCGACAACGCCTCCATGATGGACGCATTCGTTTCCTCCGATCAGCCTCCGTTCTGGGCACCGCCCGGCAGGTATCATCCGGGAGCGGTGGGCCCACCTCAGCAGTCGTCATCCGCCGCATCTTCGGTAGTCCTCAACCAGGAGACGCTCCAGCAGCGCCTGCAAATCGTGATCGACGGCGCCCGGGAGGCGTGGACCTACGCGATTTTCTGGCAGGCATCGGTGGCGGATTTGGAAGCGACGTCGCTGTTAGGGTGGGGCGACGGTTACTACAAGGGGGAAGAGGACAGGGCCAGGCGGAGAAGAACCGCGACGTCTCCTTCCGAACAGGCTCACCGGAAGAGAGTCCTCCGCGATCTGAATTCTCTCATTTCCGGCCCCGGCTCCGCCGACGATTCCGTGGATGAGGAGGTGACCGATACGGAGTGGTTTTTCCTCGTTTCCATGACCTACTCGTTTCATTCCGGGTCGGGTCTCCCAGGTCACGCGTTTTACAGCTCGAGCCCGATTTGGATCGCCGGCCAGGAGAAGCTCGCGTCGTCTCCGTGCGAGCGAGCCCGTCAAGCTCAGGGGTTCGGGCTCCAAACCATGGTCTGTATTCCATCTCCCAACGGAGTCGTCGAACTCGGATCTACTGAACTGATTCACCAGAACTTTGATTTGACCAACAAGGTTAGATTCCTGTTTAATTTCAATCACAATCCTGATATGGGCTCGATCTCGTGGTCCGGGCCTCCGCCGCAGCCGCAGCCGCAACCACCGCCGCCGCCGCAGCCGGCGCACTGGCTCACTGATCCACCTACCCCCTCACGTGTTGAGGTGAAGGAATCTACTACGAACACCCCAGTCCAGGATACTTCTTCCCTCTCTACTGATCTGAAACAAATC